TGTGGAAAAATGGCGGGGATTATGCGGCCTTTTAAAAATCTGCGCCATTTTGCTGATTATGCGGTAAATTCTGCGATCGCAGAATCGCGTTTTTCTGGAGGGTCTATACAGTATATAGGCATATAGCTATGCACGTGATACTGACGCACATATAACAAATAATAAGTTAGCCTTAAATGAATCCATTTTAAACCATAATGTGACTCACAAAAATACCCGATAATTTACAGTTTAATCTAATTTATATTATTATTGTTAAGCCTAACATTTGGACAATAATAACAAAAGGAAAATGGCTCGAACATTTACCTTAGACTTATTGGCCATTTTCATTGAAATGTTTCACACATTTATAGAAAAGGTATTACAACTGACAACTAATCCTGGAAATCTTGTTTGTGTTGTTGGTGAAAATACAACAATAATAAAAAGGCATAACCCTCTTACTTTACATTTTGATCTCCCCTCTTTCAATTTTTCTATGCATAACATTTGTTTTTCCGAGATACAAATGTTTACTCACTTCTCAGTTTCAGGAGCTGCTTTTGTGGCTGGAGCCGGTTCTGGTGCTGTTTAAATAATCAGTAGACGCAGGTTATATATATTTATTCTTAACATTAGTATGACATGTATTCATGTGTAATGATGATTAAAAGCTGACCTTTTGCTTCAGCAGGAGCTTCAGGCCTCTCCATGATTTCTGTCTTCGGCTGAGGGACGACTTTCTCTAAACCTTTTTTGATCCAGTCTAACATCCTGTAATGAACACACACATATAAACACACCCATACACACCCATTTAAACACACATATAACGCACACACACACACACACACACACACACACACACACACACACACACACACACACACACACACACACACACACACACACACACACACACACACACACACACTCACCTGGGGGGGAGGAGTCTCTTGTCAGTGTGTTCCTCTCGCTCCTCCACATTGATCTGAGGCTCTGCAGGTTTTTCAGGTGCTGCCACCAACACCTGAGGAGAAACACACACTCACATTATATCACAACATCAATATTATACGTCAAATCTAGTTTATTATATTCTCTTAGTCTCTTTCTGGTTGGTATGATATCACAGGACTGTATTCATACTGCAGTAACAGCTGATAACTCGGTGAGCTGCTCAGGTTCTGCTGGGGTTTCCTTCTTCAGGTCGGGCTGAGGAACGACTTTCTCCAAACCCTCAGAGATCCAGGCCATCATCCCTTTCCTGAGGAGAAATAAAAACAGAAACACAACGACTGATTTCTTCTTCAGGAGATGAGAATCTATCCTAACTGAGACAAATATAATATAGATCACATGATCAGCGTAACAATATGATAAATACAGTAGTAAACAGCAATGAGACATGAAATGAAGCTCACTATTTGGCATATATGCCATCAAATGGGCATATAAAGCAGCTCAGTATTTGGCATTATGCAGGGTTGATGGATTTATATCGTAGCTCACTATTTGGCAGTATGCACGTTGAGGGTTTATAAAAAAGCTCATTATTTAGCCGTATGCACGTTGAGGGGTATTTAGACAAGCTCACTATTTCACTATTAGTCCGTCTGTTGATTAGTTTCTAAAGCGGCTCAGTATTTGGCAGTCTGCCTATTGGCGGGTTTATAAAGGAGCTCGGTGTTCTGCTAATACATATCAAGCCAGCTCAGTATTTGGCAGTTTGCAAACTGATGGCAGTAATTTGCAGTGTTTGTCCTGTAGGGTATATTAAGCAGCTCAGTATTTGACAATTTGCCTGTTGATGGGTATTTAAAGCATCGCAGTATTTGGCAGCCTATGGCTAATGGGTTTATTAAGCAGCTCACTATCTGTTTCCTGTCGTTACTCACTCGTCTTCAGGTTTACTGTTATTACAGAGAGGAAGGAACACAGAGGAAACATCAAAACACTTGTATCACTGCAACACATCTGGAAACCATTAACTCCACATTTCTGATAAACATAATAACAAATCTGTCATAGCACAGCTGCTTTGTGTTGACCTAACAATATCAATAAAGCCTTGGGCAATCATTCACCATAATCATGGTACTTTTATTGGAAAAACTCAAGCTAAGTCTTCTTAAAGTTAGTAAAGGAGTACCACAGGGATCCGTTCTTGGTCCTCCTTTATTTACACTATACTGCATATAAAAATAGTATAATCTCTGAAACTCCACATCCTTTATATATTATATATATATGTACCTGGTTGTTGTGTTTTCCTCCTGGAAAGAAGGAAAAGACACAAAAAATATTAATTGGACCTACAGAACGACTCTGTTGCAGGATCTGGTCCTGAGTAAGTAAGCGATCCGGGTAAGTATCTTGTGCTGGGGCAGTATGTGGTTCTGGTGCAGTATCCGGTCCCATGGTTAATATCTGGTCCTGTGTCAGTAGCTGGTCCTTGGTAAGAACCTGGTCTTGGGTAAGTAAGCAATCCGAGGCATGTATCTGGTCCTGGGTGGATATGTTGTTGTGGGTCAGCATCTGGTCCCGGTTTCTAGTGCTGGGTCAGTATTTAGTGCTGTGTCAGTATCTAGTGCTGGGTCAGTATCTAGTGCTGGGTCAGTATCTGGTCCTGGGTCAGTATCTAGTGCTGGGTCAGTATCTGGTCCTCACCTTCTCGACGGAGTTGGCCCGGCTCAGGTTTGGTGGGAGAGCAGGTTTGGGCAAAGTGGCGTTGAACCACGTAAACACCCCGGACTGAGCGACAGGCTCCGGGCTGAGAGCAAAACATCCAGTGTTCATTTAAATGAGGGCACATAACATCAATAAAATACAGTAAATAAACTTTATACTTGCTACTTTAATACACTAGAGATTCATTTAAGTTGATGTGAGTTATTGTCATTTTCAATTTATAAAGACAATACGATACATTTTTTATATCATTTTAGGTGAATATTATTTCTAAAAACTTTATTTTGTTCATAATCCTGTTTATCAAAACCTCCCCATGTACGAAAAGGGACACAAACAGGAAAATGACCATAAACTGAATTGCAATGCAGATCTTTCATGAAGTAACTATTATAGTAAACATCATTGTATATCTCAGATCATCTCACCCGCTCTCCACCGCCTTTACTTCCTGTTTGGGTTTGCCTTCTTTTTGAGCTGTTAATAAAACACAATACTTATTGTTTAGCAAGAAGAACAAAACCCAAACTGAACCACGAGATGTTCACGATGCTGTCTTACCCTGCTGTTTGCTCTCATCTAGAAATGTCACTTTCTTCTCCTGTTGAAAACACAATATGATTTCATGTTAAACATATAAAGTTTACATAATGAAACACATAATCAGAATCCGGGTTATTGCCAAGTACTATTAAAAAGTAATTTGCTTTGTTGCATACAAACATTAAAGAGGAATAAGCTATGTATATAACTTTTAAAATAAATATTATACAATTAAAATAAATGTTGACAAGTATTCCTCGGGCATAATGGCATAGATAAAATACATGCAGTCTTATAATGCGTATTATATTTGAATATAAAAAATGTATGTGCAGTATATCACCTAGGCTATAAGGTATGTATACGTATTTAAAAATTCTATATCTAAAGTCAGTAAAGTAACCATTAAAGTGTGATTCAAACATTTTGATTGTAATTTAAAATATTATTTTCCACATTTGGGTCCCAGAATGATAGAATAAAAAAGGAACTCTGGTAGTGGCTGTAGTGTGAATAAACTTCATATAATATGTTTTTACGATGGCAATAAGAGATGTAACGAAAATGATAAAATCGTGATGAAAACATAAATGGGCTTGGCTTAAACTAAGGGGAGGAGTCACCGCAGGGGGCGTGGCCACTGGTTTCCCCAGTTTCTGCTCTTCAACATTTTTTGGCGGAGGCTCCGGCGGCTGCGGAACGACTTTAGCCACCCAGCTCAACATCCTGCGAGAACAAACACACACACAGAATAGTTAAGAGTGAAGGGTGTTGTATTTCTGTGTTGGACCCTGAAGGCAGCACCTCCCTGGTCCAATGGGATTCCTCCGTTTGATTTTGGATTATTGCAGAAAATAATCTCTGTGTCAAACAAACGATAATCTCCACATATTAACACCTCTTTATGATTTCTGAAGTAAAAAGCTAACGTTAGGCCATAAAGGAATAGGGATTAAAAAAGGGTTTACAAACTGATGCTATGGGACTAGGGGCCACTATAAACTGCAAATACCTGCACCACACAACCTGGTCTAATCTCTATTTGCATTCTCTTACTAATGTCATTGTTACTCTTATTAAAACAGTATTAAAACTATTTATACCCCAAAAATAAACTAGAAAATACTACTTGATGTTACCCACTTGACTCTAATGCATTTACAAATACTTATTTATGTATAAGAATTGACATCAATCTCTCCACTGGAGATACAAAAAAAAATCATGACAGTTCTCACACAAAACTCAAATGTAAACATCTAATTTTTTTGTTTGTGATCATTTTGCCCCTTTTATATTCATTTAACGAAAATGTCCAAACACAAGTGTTAATGTTAATTACGACTACACCGGTCCAACAACACATCTATGCTTATCACACAGCACATGGAAGAAAAATAATGAATGTAGAACTTTGGTATCTTTTAAAAAAAATAAAAGAGTTCTTGGAAAGGTTCCTAATTAGCGTTCTCTCTATTGACTCGACTCGCTCGGTGATTAGCGGCGTTTGGATCAGTTCTGGCTCAGCGTCAGCTTGATTAGCGCTGACTGACCGTGACCCTAATCCGCCTCAGGAGGTCGGCAGCAGAGCTGTTTCACTGTGCTGACAAACATTTCAACTGGAGTCACTTGCACTTTCCAGTTAGCTCTTTAGCCATTTAGCTAGGTTTTATATCCACCAGTTTTGCAGTTTTGATTGTCTCCAGCCAGGTTTACGTTTGGCAAAATCTTTAATCAAATCAAGTCTTATTTATGGATCCCAATCTCAGATATTATGCAATAAAACAGAATTCCCAAATTGGGATTAATACATAAGTACATTTTACCTTATCTTTTATCTTATCTTATATTAAATCTGTAGATCGTACAACACTGTCTGTTTTAGGAACATCTCAGCGGTTTGGGAAAAACCCAATTCCCCCCCAAAAAATCTCCCAGTTTTCCAGAGTAAAGGAAATAGTTTTGTTGCAACAAAATACATCAAACTGATTCAGTAGGCGAGAAAAAGGGTATAAAGGTGTGACTTTCACCTTCCAGTTAGCTCTTTAGTATTTTAGCTAGTTGCTAAAACCACCAGTAAGTCAGTTAGTTAGCTTTCCAGTTAGTTCTTTAGCCAAATAGCTCGTTTGTCAACAAGTAAGTCAGTTAGTTATTATTTTAGTTTGATTTTTAGATTTTCAGCTAGATGCTCAGTCAACCAGTAAGTCGGTTAGTTAGCTTTACAAGTAGCTTGTTAGATATTAAGCTAGTTGCTATTAGTTAGCTAGTTTAATAGATATTTAGATATCTAGCTTGTTACTAAATTGACCATTAACATTCTGTTCTTTATCCAAAATAGCTAGTTTCTAAGTCAGGTAGTGAGATCAGTCGATCAGCCAATATTTGAATCAAATCAAATTTAGTCAGATCTATTTATATTGACCAATTTCACATATTACACATTTGCCTCACAGGGTTTTTACAATTTGTTGCCACAACTTAGCCATATGTTTTGTTGAGGTTCAGTAGCTTTTTATCAATGCTAGCATTTCTTATCAAGGATAATTGTGCATTGATTTTAAAGTATTGCTAATATCATTATGAAAACATACACACTTAAGACAATATACTCATTACAGGAATTACATCTCATGTTACAAAGGGAACCGTAAGTTCATTTTAAAGGGAAGTCCTAAATAAAGATGCTTCATGCAACTGGCCAGGTAAACAGTCGGTTAACTCATTTGATGGTTAATTATCATCCACTTAGTGAAATTAGACAAGTTGGCTAGTTTAATTAACTTCACAGCCAGATAATGTGCTAGAAAATGAACAACAGTGAGTCAATAACATGGTGGGCAAGCAAATATAAATGTAACTTTAAAATTACTTGTAAAAAAGGTATTTTGTAAAAAGTAAGGTACTTCATTAGATGCAATTATTAACGTATTAGATTCAAACACAGTTCCTTTTCTACAAAGAAAAAGAAAAATGTGCTGAACAAAAGGGTGTGTGTGTGTGTGTGTGTGTGTGTGTGTGTGTGTGTGTGTGTGTGTGTGTGTGTGTGTATACAGACTCTGCTAGACAATTGCATGTGAGCTCGGCTAACCATGATATTATTTACAACTGAATACATTGGTAAAAATAGTGAGAAGTCAGTGTATCCCAGTGTAAGAAAGCAGAAGTTCTTACATTTGATCGCAAATACAAAAAGTATTCTTCAGAAAAAAAACTATCAGAAGTATAATTTATTGAAAAAAAGTGCATGTAAAGAAGTAAACGTAACGAGCACTGCAAACCAACCGTATTTGTCTGTTAGCATGTTAGCTAGCTCGTTAGCAAATGTTGTTTACTGGCTAAATAAACTGCACACTCAGATAATCTAAACAAAGTGACTCACGACTAAACCACCATGCTCTGCAGCATTTCCCCGCCTGTTGAGGTATTATTTTGGGGGAGTTTTGTGGAGGTCGGTGGGGTGTTTAGTGGGGTGTTTTGTGGGGTCTATGTGCTGGTTGTCCTACCTGAGAAGTTAGCGAGGGTCCGGCAGCGTCCCACAGAAGAAGAACAACAGTGAAGTCCTGCTGGGATCTGAGCGCTGTGGGAGGATTATGGAACTAACAGGATTAAAGGAGGACGGTAAGGACACATGGGGACACACAGATTACCCTCCCAAATCTAACTCACACACATCAGTCCAACATGGTGAGAGAAAACATTAAGAAAAGAGAGAACATTGACAGAAAACAGGCATTTAGATATTTTACTGCTTTTTACAGATGGACAGTTTTATCATTTTTATACTTGATCTTATGTTTTGGATCAAGGTGATTGCTGCACTTTATTCACTTGTACATGTAACATTTATGTTTAATGTATTATGCCATTCCTTGCCAGTTAATGCCAATAATATCCTACTTTCAAACTTAGTTGCAACTTGTATAACTTTTTAATAATGTTTTATTTTCTCTTTTGAGATGTTTATATTTGTTTATTTTCTACTCTTTTTATTTAAATGATGTGCAATGCCTTGTTTTAACATTGGGATCAATAAAGTTTATCTTATCTTTCAAATGCATTCACTTTAATTGTGGAACCCCAAAGGCGATACAAATAATTAAGTTTAGCTCTATGACATTTATACCTGTTGTTATACCTGATCTCAATTTAATTATCCGTCATAATCTGAAATAAATACCTCAGGTGAAAGATAAAACAATAATAAGTTGTTATCTAGTTGCCTTGACCTAATATGATTTCCTGCTCATCCTAAATGTCTTCCTCCTTTGTTTACTTCTGGAACACAGTGACATCACTCTGTAACATTAGCTCTCCTATTGGCTAGCGCTCGAACACATTGTACGTGATAGGCTGGGGGGGTGGGACATCTCTAAGCGGTCGACCAATAACATCAGAGCCCGGCCAGCTAACCAATCAGAGCAGACTGGGCTCTGGAGTCAGACTGAGAATTTGAACCTACATAAATCATTTGTATGAATAATCTGACAAGTCCTGTCCCATAGTCCTGTTTTTTCTTCTGTTATCTGTTCGGGCTTTATATACATTGCAGGCCGTATTAACCTCAGACCTTAAAAAGGATAACAACCAAAAACACATTCAGAAAACCATTGACCTCCAGACCACGGGACAGGAAGTGATAAAATGCTGACTCAATTCCAGGTTTCAGGACTCATTCCTGCACAACTCTATTATGTCTTCTTTTATATGATGGTTTTTAACTGTGTCTTTTGTGTTTCACCATCACGACCCTGGGTGGGGGTCACACTCAGATTTGTTTTTGTGCTCATGTTGCAGCGCCTGCAGGTTAAAGCTGTTAACGAGCAGATGATCCGCTCACAAGGTTCATCAGCGTCAGCGAAACAAGGATCAGCCGCAGAAACCTGACCGGCTCAAAGACCCACAGCAGACAGCTGAGAGGCGTCGTGAGAACAAACTGAGGACGACTGGTCCAAACTCTTCCATCAGGAGAGACACGCTGCAGCTCCAGAAAGGATGCAGGGATACAAACACAAAGAAGCTCAAAACACAACGGAGACCAGGGGACACTAAAGAGTGACGCACACAGCTGGAGACCAGGGGACACTAAAGAGTGACGCACACAGCTGGAGACCAGGGGACACTAAAGAGTGACGCACACAGCTGGGAGACCAGGGGACACTAAAGAGTGACACACACAGCTGGGAGACCAGGGGACACTAAAGAGTGACGCACACAGCTGGGAGACCAGGGGACACTAAAGACTGACGCACATAGCTGGGAGACCAGGGGACACTATAGAGCAGTGGTCACCAACCATTTTAAGCCTAAGATCACCGACCTCGGCCTAGGTGAAAGGCGAGATCTACCTATTGCAGAATTGAGTGAAAAAGACGGCCCAGACAATGCTTCCAATTTGAAGCCTTTTATATAGGCTAATTGCATCTGAATTACTGTTACAATGAAGGCTCCATAATCAGCTCACGGCACATAGGCAGGGGTAAAGTGCTATTGGGGTGCGGACCTCACCTCCTCTAGGGGGGTCATCACCTCCTCTAGGGGGGTCCGGGGGGATGCTCCCCCGGGAAGATTTTTTTTAAATATTGAAGTTGAAAGCATCAATCTGGTGCACTTTGAGAGCAACATGAAGAGATCTATGGATACATCTCTCAACACCCAGATGAAACAGAACTGTAAACAGTATTTTCTTTTCTTTATGGATATTTTAAAAATCACTCCCCTTTTAAACTGTATTCTTGTTTTACTGCCATATAGTAGGCTATTTCATACCTGTTTTTCATTTATTCTCTTATTGTTTGTATAACTATAATGATCATATAGAGGTGTACCATGGAAATAATCTTTTGAATAATTTGTGACAAAACTGTTCTAAACACTCAAGAGTCCTTTAGCTCACCTGAGCCCCTCAGTCTGACAGAAGAGGACTCTCCTCCAGCTTGTTGTGGAAACAGCTCCTTATGTCCGTTAGTGCAGCTAGCTAACCAGATGCTAACATCACGGTACCTGCTAGCACCGGTCCCTCTC